TGGCTGCTCCTGCACCCCCCCCCCCCGCACTGGGGATCAAGCCTGCAACCTGGGCATGTGCCTTGGCCGGAATCGAACCCGGGACCCTTAAGTCTGAAGGCTGACGCTCTACCCACTGAGCCAAACCGGCCAGGGCCCTCCCTTTCTTGAAAGTTCCCCCCTTTTCATATGTTGTGAATGCCTCCCAAGGTAGTTCGTTTCTAGATTGAAGGCACCCTGTCTAATGCTGTGTGGTACTTCATAAAGAATATTTTATTCAACAATCCCCTATTGTTGGGCATATGGGTTTTCTCCAACCAGAGCAAAAAGCCCTGAGCAGTGACCCCTTCTAGCACCCACTTGTGGACCCAGCACCCATGTCAGTTTTGTTACTTACAGCAAACTCCTCGGGAGTCACTTTCAAGACGTCGAAGACAACGGCATCGTAGCTCTTGCTGGCATAGTCGCAGCTCTGGCCCTCCAGAGAGTCTGAGCTGCTGCTGCCCTGTGGGGACCGGGAGAGACGTGCCACCTGAGCAGTCTGGCTGACTTGAGTCACTGCCTCCCACACCTCAGAACTGAGGAGGCAAAGAGTGACAGACTGCATTATGATAAAAGCTTGTAGTGTTTAGTGCTTCACTCTGTTGCAGGCACGGTGCTAAGCACTTTATATGCATCATGTTAACATCTCTGAATACACACTATTACTATTCCCATTTTACAGCTAAGGAAGTAGAGGCAATGTTACTTCCCCAAGGTAGCTCAGCTAGGAAAGTGAAGAGCCAGAAAGAGAACCTGGTTTTGTATCTACCTGATCCCAGATCACTGCACCCCACCTGTTTCCAGCTGGCTGTGTGGCAGTGGGGTCAAAAATACAGCCCACTCTTCCTTCAGAGGGAACCAGCCTTCCCATCTTAGGAGGCCTGAGGAGATCACCTGTTTCGTTACATCTTTCAGACATTACCTGGTTTTACCTTTTTATTTTTTTCTACTTGAGTTCATTGCAGGAAATTGTTACACAAAATGCTAACCGAGCTCTTAAGGCTTATTTCATGCATTGGCCACTTGGAATTCAAGCCTGTGAGCTGATGAGGTGAGAGGTAACCGACTGGCATTGGAGACAGGCGTGAAAGTTATATTTAGTAGCGTCCCTTGTGGGGAAGAACACTGTGAGTCCTGCAAGTAAAGTGTCTCCCATAAAAAAGCAAGTTAAAACTCCCCAATTGTGGTTGGTTGCATGAAAAACCCAACACTACAGGATCCCAGAATGCTGAGCATACCTTCTCCTCAATTTTATTTCATTTCATCAAATCCTATTTTGGGGAACCAATCACACTTACCACCCAAAAATTGTGCCCTGTTCATAAATGGTTCTATTCGTCTCAATCCACGAAGAGGGATTTTGTGGTTTCCATTAACCTCAACATCTTGGACTGGGATTTAGAGAATATGCTTTTATTAATTCCTCTTTATTTCACTCTTTCCAAAATGGCTATATCTGGAAAAACTTTGCAATCTTACTGGAAACTAGATTGTTTTTAGGCCAGTGAGGGGAACCAATAGTCAATATTTGAAAATGTGAGGTTAAAAGGAGGAGCAGAAACTAAACCTGTAGATTTCAGTAGGAAATCTATTGAATCTGTGTCATTTAAAGGCTTCACAAATGGGTCTACTATACCCAAAACCCTAAGAAGATCTTAAGAAGCAGGGTCCCGTGGTAGTTAAGGCCAGCTCCACACCAGCTGCTGCCCAACCTCAGGTGAGTGCCTTCATCTTACTGAGTCCCAGGCATCTGTAAATGGCACTGTTGGAACCTACTGCCCAGGGCTGCAGTGGATTATAGAAAATGAAGCTCACAGAGCAACTGGCAGAATCCTCACCCCTCCTCTCCCCCCGCCCGCTCCCTGCCCCCCCCCCCCCCCGGGAGATGCTGGTTCTAGGGCTCTAGGGGTTTGGGTGGGCTCGGGGGTAGCTAATTTAAAAGTTGTATGGGTAATGGGACAGTCTCCCCTGAGGAAAACCTGTGTTACACTTTTGAAAAATAATGAAGACTAACCGTCAATGCCCCTGGACCTGGCCATCTATTCTCCTCAGCCCTGTACACTCCCTGAGCAGAGGAGGACCGTGCATCACGCATGCCCACACCCACCTTCCAGGAAGTGGCACAGCAGGTGACAGGGCAGGTTTTCTTCAGGACGGTAGTGTCATCACTGTCAGAAGCACACCGGGTTGGGTCCCGCAGGCCTGGCTTTGAATCCCACCCACCGCTGACCAGCTATGTGAATCAAAGCCAGTTTATCCACCTCTCCCTGCCTTAGTCTCAACAGTCCACACCTCATGGGGCTTTGTGAGGACTAAGTCAGATAATGTCTGTGAAGATGCAAAAAATAAGCCTGGTATATAGTAAGCACTAATCATGGGTGTGGATATGTGTAAACGTGTCATTCAGTCACCAAAATTTATTGAGCACTTCAATTATACATGTATTCATTCATTCAATCAACAAATGTTTATCGAGTACTCACCATGTATCTGTATACACACATATGTGTGCATATACACAGTATACATGTATGCGTGCGTGTGCACGAATGTGTATATACAAGGAGAGTAGAGAAGAAAGAAGTTTTACTGTAGGTGGAGTGTAAATTGTAAATAGAAACAGAATTCTGATTCCTCTAGTTGCCAAACGGCCCATTCCTGGGCTTCAGGTTTTATAACTTTCCTGTAATGCCCACTGCATCGGCCCCTAACACGTGCTCAAACAAGGGTCCTTGTTTAATCAAAAATTACCCCAAATACATTCATTGGTGGTGCTGGCAGTGATGATGCAGTAACTTTATTTAAACCTATATTGGCACCATCAGAAAAATTTAAAAGGCACCCACAAGTCTGCTTTTCAGAACCAGAGATCAAAATAGGAAAACTTTCTAAAGGTTTATAAGAAATGAGCTAGTTCCTGTGAATTTCTAGCTGATTACATAGGATCGTTTCAAAAGCCCAGTTCCACTCTAAGGGCCCTGTGAGCTCAGGACACTGAGCATGGCCAGTTAGTCACAAGACCAGGCGTTACAACTGGATGTGGTGGCATCCCCAGGCCGCAGATGACACCCACTCCCCTGCGTGCCTCTGTTACGTTACTGAACTTGGAAAGAAAACTCCCAAACCCCCGGGGAAAGGCCCAGCCCAGGACACTCTCAGACCACCAGTCCTCACAGCCATTTCCTCCTGAGGAAGGTAAATAATAGCACAGGCCAGTTGGAATCAGTTCTGTCTGACTTCATTCCGGAATGTGTGACTTATTTATAATCAGCGGCGGCTTTTCTGGGGAAAGGTCTGATCTCTTCGTGCACCAACATGGAATGTGGCACTTGCTAACACTGGACCGAGCAGCTATTTGTTTTTCTTTGAAGAGAAAGACTTCAGAAAACATATTGGTCCTCAGGACTGACTGCCTCCCAAATCTCACGCCCGGCGTGGCCAGGGCCTCGGGAGTGCTAAGAATGGTGGTATTCATGGAGCCCTACAGCTTTGCTGCTCATGACTCAGCTGGAGCCTGGCAGCTTAGCTGCCCCCACTGTCAGATTCGCGCAGTCTCTGTACCTGTGGAGTGGCGGAGGTGACCAACACACTAGCCATCAGACCATTCCTCTTGTACATAGTCTCCAGGCCACAGGGAGCTTCAGGGCAGCCTCTGTCGGTGACATAACCCGTCAGGAGAAGTCCTGCAAGGCAAAGGAGCTCATAAAAACCAGCCCTCAAAGACAACTAGACCCCACCCCTGGGGAAAGGTGTGACAGATTTGAGCAGATGACCCCAGAGACCTTTAAAGAAAGATTATAAGCTGGTGGCCTTTGGGCTAAAGGTGGCCCACAGATGTACTTTGTTGGGCTTGCACAGGTTTTAATATTTTTTAAATTAACCACCAATGTTTAAAACTTGAACGGTTTCATGCAGAATCCTGGATTTCTGACATTTCTTGAAACTAGGAATACCTGGCAGTACCGGGCCCACATCCCTGCCTGCCAACCATCAGCTGCGCTGAGCAGTGGTGGCCCACCTGGCCCTTGCAGGCACTAGAGTTTGTGATCTTTGTTTTAAAGTGGAGGCAGGTGAAGAAGAAAACGGATTCTGCTGTGTCTGCCTGTGCACCAGACCATGTCAGCAGCAATAATGTGGAGAGCAGCTAATATTGCACAGCACTTGCCTGGTGCCATGCGTTTTACACACCTCAGCTCATCTAGCCCTCACTGCAGTCCTCGGGCAGGCCCTACGATTACACCCACAGTGCACAGAGGAATCGGAAGCACGGGGAGCTAACGTGACTCACACTTTGGTGCCTCAGCTCATGCTGTCCCCCATCCCGTCAGCATTCAAGATCCTACTCAGCTATCATTTCGTCTGGTTATCATGCCTGGCCCACCCAAAGCAACATCAGTTGCTTTATACCAATGTGTGTGTACACAATTCTAGCACAGCATTTATCACATCACCAAACATCACAGAACTGTAGCCACACCAGCTTTTTTGCAGGAAAGTGGCGAGGAGAGTAGGGAGAATGTAATGGGGGGCAGGGGGGAAGGAGAAGGCAAAGGTTCCAGCTGGAAGCCAACTGCAATTTCCCAGGCAACAGATGAGGAGGGTCCTCTGAGCTAAGTTTGTAGCAGTGAAGTCAGAGGGAAGGAGACAGACCGAAAGGCTGTAAGGGCAGGAATTCAATAGGAATTGATGAGGGCAGGAGGGAGCACAAGCCGAGGATGAATGGTTTCTGGCTGGAGGTACCAGAAGGATGATGGGGAAGGGACAGAGGTGCGGGAAAAGATGATGAATTTAATTTAGGACATGCTGGGTCTGTGGTGCCAAGGACATAATCAGTCCTGGTAAGCAAAGTCAAGCCCAAAGGTCACTGGGAAAGATGGAAAACAAGGAGGTACAAGTCTGATCTTGACTGTCTGTGTACCCACTATGCTTCCGGCAGCCTGAGCTAGAAAGACAGACAGAGCTTGTTTCCGATCTCACTCCTGTATGTCTCGCCACTGACGAAAACAGACTAATTTATGGGCAACAATTCTCAGACAAGTGATATTTCACATGCTAAGAAAAAAAACAGAACCAAACAGAATGGAAGATCCTTTCCAGGGCCCAGAGAAACCTCCACCCATCCACCTTCAGTCCCTGAGGCTTGGCCAAGCCCCAACTCCTGGCCAAGAACCAGACTCCCAACAAGGTCAGCCCGGCCCAGCCCCTCCCTAAGAACCCCTTCCCAACCCCACGGGTGGGCCCCTGACAATGGGAGCCAAGCCTCCCAGGTTGGACTGACTGAACCACAGTGGCCACCTCATTCTCCTGGGAACTCGGAACCCGGAGATGCCAATCTGGTTAACCAAACAGAGGTGCTGTACCCTTGGGAGCAGATGTTGGCCAAATCCTGCTGGGTGCAGGGACAGTCAGTCAGAAGGAGATGCACAGAGAGAAGCTCAAGAGACAGCCGTGTCTGAAAGGGGAGGAGAGCACGGGGCCTGGTTCCCACTGCTTTGTAACAAATGCCTCTTTTTCAGTGTCAGACAGATTTCCAAAGACCTTGACCAAGGCTATTTCCTAAACCTCAAGGTCACACAGGGGCCCATGTCAATGGGGGAAGATACATGCCACCATCCATCCATCCACTCATTGAGCTCATGCAACACGCAGGCACACTTGCGCTAGGAGTTCCTAACCGTTGTGTGCCTTGGACCCTTTTGACTGGTGAAGCCTCGAGGACCTTTCTCACATAAATGTTTTTAAATGCGTAAAATTATACAGGAAACTGATTACACAGGATTTCTCAGGAGACCAATTATATAAAAGTACAGTCATTAAGTTATTTTTAAAACAATTGCTATGTAGTAAGAAAATAAATTTTATTTATTTATTTATTATTGCATTAAAGAACAAGATCTATTGGTGGATCTGGAAACTACCATAATTTCAAAGCAGTATAAGCACAGGCATTCTAAGATACCCACAGCTAATATTTGATAGGAAAATATTTGTGATTTTTTTAATATTCATTTTATTTTATTTTTTTGTTTTATTGCTTAAAGTATTACAAAGAGTATTACATATGTCTCCTTTCCCCCCTCCTTGACATTCCCCCAGCCTCCCCTACCCCCCCAGTGTCTTATGTCCATTGGTTATGCTTATATGCATGCATACAAGTCCTTCGGTTGATCTCTTACCCCCCACTCCCGCCCCCCAATCCTCCGCAGCCTTCCCGATGTAGTTTGACAGTCTGTTCGATGCTGCTCTGCCTCTGTATCTATTTTTGTTCATCAGTTTATAATGGTCTTTATTATCCATAAATGAGTGAGATCATGTGGTATTTTTCTTTCATTGACTGGCTTATTTCACTTAGCATAATGCTCTCCAGTTCCATCCATGCTGTTGCAAATGGTAAGAATTCCTTCTTTTTTACAGCAGCATAGTATTCCATCGTGTAGATGTACCACAGTTTTCTAATCCATTCATCTGCTGATGAGCACTTAGGCTGTTTCCAGATCTTCGCTATGGTAAATTGTGCTGCTATGAACATAGGGATGCATATATCCTTTCTGATTGGTGTTTCTGGTTTCTTGGGATATATTCCTAGAAGTGGGATCACTGGGTCAAATGGGAGTTCCATTTTTAACTTTTTGAGGAAACTCCATACTGTCTTCCATAGTGGCTGCACCAGTCTGCATTCCCACCAGCAGTGCACGAGTGTTCCCTTTTCTCCACATCCTCTCCAGCACTTGTCGTTTGTTGATTTGTTGATGATAGCCATTCTGACAGGTGTGAGATGATACCTCATTGTTGTTTTGATTTGCATCTCTCAGATGATTAGTGACTTTGAGCAAGTTTTCATATGTCTCTTGGCTTTCTGAATGTCCTCTTTTGAAAGGTGTCTATTTAGGTCCTTTGCCCATTTTTTTATTGGATTGTTTATTTTCCTTTTGTTAAGTTGTATGCGTTCCCTATAAATGTTAGAGATTAAACCCTTATCGGTGATAACATTGGCGAATATGTTCTCCCATGCAGTGGGCTTTCTTATTGTTTTGTTGATGGTTTCTTTTGCTGTGCAGAAGCTTTTTATTTTGATGTAGTCCCATTTGTTTATTTCCTCTTTAGTTTCCAATGCCCTAGGAGCTGTATCGGTGAAGAAATTGCTTCGGCATATGTCTGAGATTTTGTTGCCTTTGGATTCCTCTAGTATTTTTATGGTTTCCCATCTTACATTTAAGTCCTTTATCCATTTTGAGTTTATTTTTGTGTATGGTGTAAGTTGGTGGTCTAGTTTCATTTTTTGCATGTATCTGTCCAATTTTCCCAACACCATTTATTGAAGAGACTGTCTTGACTCAATTGTATGTTCTTGCCTCCTTTGTCAAATATTAATTGAGCATATTGGTTCGGGTCAATTTCTGGATTCTCTATTGTATTCCATTGATCTATATGTCTGTTTTTGTGCCAGTACCAAGCAGTTTTGAGAACTGTGGCTTTGTAATACAGCTTGATATCAGGTATTGAGATCCCACCTACTTTGTTCTTCTTTCTCAGGATCGCTGCAGCTATTCGGGGTCTTTTTTTATTCCAGATGAATTTTTGGAAAGTTCGTTCTAGGTCTGTGAAATATGCTATTGGTATTTTAATGGGAAGTGCGTTGAATTTATAGATTGCTTTGGGTAGTATGAACATTTTAATGATGTTGATTCTACCAATCCATGAACATGGTATGTTCTTCCATCTGTTTATGTCTTCCTCTATCTCTTTTTTCAACGTCCTGTAGTTTTCTGAGTAGAGATCTTTTACTTCTTTAGTTAAGTTTATTCCTAGGTATCTTAGTTTTTTTGGTGAAATGGTAAATGGGATTGCTTTTTTAGTCTCTCTTTCTGTAAGTTCACTATTGGTGTATAGAAATGCCATAGATTTCTTGGCATTAATTTTGTATCCTGCTACATTGCCGAATTCACTTATCAAGTCTAATAGTTTTTTGACAGAGTCTTTAGGGTTTTTTATGTACAATTTCATGTCATCTGCGAATAAGGACAGTTTTACTTCTTCTTTTCCATTTTGGATGCCTTTTATTTCTTCTTCTTGTCTAATTGCAATGGCTAATACTTCCAGTACTATGTCGAACAGGAGTGGTGAGAGTGGGCATCCCTGTCTTGTTCCTGTTCGTAAGGGAAATGGTTTTAGTTTTTGCCCATTGAGTATGATGTTGGCTGTGGGTTTGTCATATATGGCTTTTATTATGTTGAGGTATGATCCTTCTATTCCCACCTTGCTGAGAGTTTTTATCAAAAATGGGTGTTGGATATTTGTGATTTTTATTGGTGACAAAGTCCCAGATACTGTAAAATATTACTGTGATTCACTGTTAGTAACTGAGAGAAATGAATATACCTCAGTTAGAAGTTTGTGAAAATAAAGATGCCATTTTCCCCCATTCAAATTCAGAGATGCCTGGTCGAGAAGCCCTGTTCCAGGCACTGAGACC